AAAAAAAAAAAAAAAAAAAGGAAGGTAAAGGAATTGGTAAGGACAGCCTCAAATAAAATATCCTGGCACAATTAGAGAGCCATTTCTTGTAATTCTCTTGTAAGAAGAGAAGGAGGAGAGGAATAAAAATACGGAATATAACATATGGATACTCCCACTGGTTCCCCAGTTTCTGAATCATTTGTTCTTTGCTACTTTGATATATTATATAAAACTACTGAATTTGTATTAAAGCTCAAAAATATAGTTGATATATTAGATAAAATCCATGAAAATATTCTAATTAATAAAATTATACATCTGGCAGTAGACACAGCTTTTTGTAAAAAAAAATGGCAAAATCCAGCTCAATAAAAACATATTCTTAATAACAAAAGTGGGGGAAGGAGTCTGTGGTATAGACAGGCTTCTCATAAGAACAAATACTTTTCCTGCAACAACTTCCCAACCTACCCGCCTATTCACCTGAGGGTACAGGAGAAAAAATGTGTTAGCCTTTTGTAGCAAATATAAGAATTTTATTTTATAAAGTACTTCATATGCACAGACAGTAGTACCTATGGTACACCTTCCCCAGAACTCTACTCCATACATCTGAGGAAGTGGATTATGCCCTATAAAAACTGATGCAACAAAACAGTTGTTAGTCTTTATCATGCCATGAGGTTATTTGTTGTACTTATTTACATGGAGACTTACTTCAGAGTAAATATATTCAAAATTATATGATGAGATGGTGGCAGACTTCTGTTGCTGGGAGGATTGTTGCTCATTTTTTCGCAGTGACCAAGGCTTGTAGAGGGCAGCAACGTAACAGGTGGGCTGAGAGTTTTGGCCCAATCTCTCCACACTTCTTTTCAAATTTGAAAGGTGTGCTACCCCTAATGGCAGTGAGTTCCCCTCCATCCTCACCTGTCAGCTTTTTGAAGTAGGCAAGGTCAAGAAACAGGCCTGGCAGGGATTCCAGGAATATTTTTGTAGATAGTAAAACAAAATTTTGAAAGCTCAACAGAGTTTCTCCCTGACCCATCTTATCAAGGCAGGATTATTTTGAGTTTCTTTCTCACTTTCCTTTTTCTCAGGACTGAGTAATCATTTCTAAAAGTCCCCCCTTAATGGCTCGCTCATTCTTTTCCATTCCCAAGGCCAGGCCTACATTCTTTCATATCATTCCACAGTATTTTGGTGAAAAATTTATTTTTCTTAATGTGAATGTTTGTTTTCCCACAAACCATCAATAAATTCTTAAGTTGTTCATCAGCTTTCTGTTTTCCAATGAAGCATTTGCTTAACCCTTTGAACTCCATTCAAAAGAACTGATTAATCAATGCAAAAACAACCATTTCCAAAAGAGGTGTTCCAGGCAGAAGGGCTCCACATGTAAGCAATCACTGCTGTACCTTTTCACTGTAATTTATTAGTTAAAGTGTATGGTTGGGGAAATTTTCAGATGACATAAACTAAGAGGGGTAGCTAATCCTTCAGAGGAAAAGAAAACATCCAAAAAGATCAGGACAGGCTTGAGCAGTAGGATAAAATGACTATGATGTAATTTAGCAAGAATAAATGTATAGTTCTATATCTGTATAGGAATAATGAAAGTAACAAGTACAGGATGGGGGAAGCCTGGCTGGCATTAGTATATGTGAAAAGGATCTGAATGTCCCTGCAGACCACGAGATAAACATGAACCAGCAGTGTGATGCAGCTCCTCAAAATGCAAATGCTATTTTGGGGTGCATTAAGAAGAACATAAAAGTCCTGATCTGAAGGTAAGAAATCATCCAGTCTACTCTGTCCTGATCAGACCATTTGAAATAATTTCTTCAGTTCTGGGCATCACAGTTCAAAATCTGGAGCAAGTTCAGAGAAGGGCTATCAAGATGGTGAAGGATCTCAGAACCAAGTCCTATGAAGAATGATTAAAGAATCTAGATACATTTTTCCTACAGGAAAAAAAAAATAACTAAGGGAGCTATGATAGCAGCAGGCAGTATCTGAAGGGTTGCCTCTATTGTCCCAGTGGGCAGGACCTGAACCAGTGGCTGTCAGCATGAATTGGTGAATTCTCATTCACTCAAGTCTGGATGATGATGATGATATTTTTATCGCACCTTTTAATATATATA